CAGGTCATGGAGGGCCTCTTATTTTACTTTACCATAAAATTTAACAGACAACCTATGGCAATGGTTAGTCACTAAAGGATTTTTGAAGAAAGAATACAAGGCGCTGTAATACTCCAGATGAAAGAACTAAGTTAATGGCAGTAGAGTATGGAAGAAACATATTCAAGAGATTTAATAATAGTTAATATATTATTAAATAATCAATATAAAGCACTTAGTTCAGTGGCTGGCCCACACAATAATGGCTCCATAAATATTAGTAGTTGTTGTTAAGCTAGGAACTCTACCTGGGGAATTCTGTTTTTTTAACCTGGGGAATTCTTAAGACCAAAATTCTTTCAGAATAACCAGTTCTAATATTAATCTCTTTCCATGCATTCCCTAACTTTCACGGCGTGAAATAATTCACTATCTTCTTTAACCTCCCATAGAATTTTATACACTGTATTGAAACAGAATGTGAATGTGCACACACGTTTCCCAGTAGACTGTGACCAGGAACAGTATCACTGGGCAAAAACAATAATATGGCAAACTGTGAAATCTAGTTAAACTAGAGAATGCACTGTTTTTAATTAGAATAATCATACTACTGCGTGAATGATAAATGATAAAGAGCCTTGCTAAAAATATTTGCAATAGAGCAGTATTTATATCTAAACCAATACTAATGTGAAATATAAAATTTTCATAACTAAACTTCAAACAGTTTACCAGGAAGTAAAAAATAAAAAACATCACTCTTGTGCTTTTAATGACATGAAAATAAGGCACACAAATAAAAAGAAATTTAAATTTTTCTAAAGGTGACTTCCCATTCTACATAATTCTATTAGATCTTCCAAAAGGAAAAAAATCTTTCTTATAATAAATTTCAGCAGTAGAAATTCCTACACCTTTGACTACCTTATACAAGCCATTAAATGTATAATGCAAATTAAGAAAAGGCCATAGTAGGTTGTACTTTCAAAAAATCCTATAATGTAAAAAAAAAAACCCAAAAACCCTATAATTAATGCATTAAAAAGGATTTTTATTAGATTTCATAGCTATACAAACACAACTACAAAAACTAACCTGGTAGTCAAAATGAGCTAAAAATCACAAAAATCTATAGTCATTCTATCTGCAGTATATAATTAGCTATGCCATTAGGAAATACTCTTGGGCTTCTTCAAAATTGAGGCTCCGACATAAGCTGGCTGAAAGTAAATTAGATCCAGTTATACTTTAGATCAATATAAAGAAAATTAATTAAAACTTACTTCATGATATATTTGGCTCTATCTATTGTTTGAGCTTTAACTTTTACTAAAAGTGGGTGACTGTTGTAAGTTTCATTCTTCCACTGGCCATACAGACGATATCTTAAAAAATGAGATGAAGAATTAGGGAAAGTTAAACACTTTGAGGGTAATACACTAAAATAGTAGTTCAAAATACAAAAATATTACATATTTACCTGTGCTGATATGGAAATGTTTTAAACATTCCCCATAGTTCCTCAGACATACAAGCATTGCAGTCCATTAGAGAAAGAGATGGAAGTAGTACCTGGTCAGTAATGCTAAGCAAACAGCTGAGGATAACTTCCTAAGAAAAAGGTAGGAAAAATTATTTCAGTAAGAGGTCCATATTAATCCCCCCACAAATAAATTTGTCAGCCTTGGAAAAATTGCCATTTCTTGATCTCATAACACACCGTATCTAATCCCCCACACTATCACTGTCCTTTTCCATATAATGGTTGTGTTTCTCCATCTAAGAAAGCAAATGAAGTAAGGGAAGGAAAGAGGTAGCTAGAGAATGAGGAGCTTTTATTATCCCTCTTCCTTCTTCACATGGTAATCCTCAGAAACAGGAGATTGTCAATCTTAAAAGATAACTTGTATAATAATTATTCACACAGGTGATGAAAGCTTGTCCACAGTAAAATTTGCAGTATTCCGTACCTAGACAAACATTAGACACATTGAATTTTTCTAGTCTCTTACCGTTTTCTCTTTATCTTCTTGTTTGCTTCCATCAGACTGAAACTAAAATTTAAAAAAAAAACTATAAATAAACTGTAAAAAGGTTAAGAATATGCTGTCACAATTTAGTTTCTAATTTGAAAAAATTAATTTGCACATGGTTGTGGATTATTTCCTTACTACTTACACACATATAGGTTTTATATATAGCCAGCATTACCAATTAATGTTGTTAAACTTCATTTATATTACTAACCTCTAAATCATTTGCAACATTCATGAGTTTTAAATGTCGTTTATAAGCTAATTCTTTTCTCAATCTTGTCACAAACCAAAACATCCTACAACTAATTCAAGGTATTTATTATAAAACTGTAGCCAAAACAAGTTAGTTATAATGCATTTGCATTTTCCAACCAATTCTAGATTTCTTCCTTACAGAACTGATAAAATCTAACACTAAAACAACCACAAAAAAGTAACCCTAAAGAAATTTAAAGGTATATTTTAAATCACTACTACTTACACCCTCACTGAGAAATAAGCCCAAAATATTAATAACATTGCTGACAAAGACAAAACCACTACCTAAATTGGACATACTGAAAAAACATGGGTCAGTATTATATCAATGATTTGCACGTGCGCAGCTTAAGTGCCATGTTTGACAATGCTATTTCTTCAAAATGAAATAGTAATACTTGTGTGTGTGTGTAAGAAGGTGGACAGTTGGGGGAGTGTGCAAAGGACAAATGAAGCATGTATACTCAAGAATAATCTTAGAGTTCTGGATAGAATTTAGCATAAATACCAAGTGAAGGAAGGGTATAAGCTAATATACAGCTAAGAAGCTTCCTATTTTCTTGGCAGAGGAGGGTATTCTGTGCATGTATGTTTACATGCTTAAGTAATTTAATGGGTGTAACTAAAGGAAAGTTTAACTTCTATGCAACATTTTCACCTAAGACTAATTCAGGGACTGCCATGTTATCCTGATGGAAAAACAAACACAATCACATTTCTTTTAATAGACAGGATAAAAAGCTTTTGCTCTCTTTCACAGAAATAATTAAGTCAATATATATCCTGGTCAGAAAATAAGGAATCAGGTTATGAAGGATAAGCCTGGCAGAAAACAAACTAGATAGTTGTTTTTGTTTTGTTTGTTTGTTGGGGGTGGGTGGCTAATACTGGCTGTAAGCTGGAAGGCAGAAATAAGGGTATGTCATAATTAGAACTAGATTTATAGTATACTAGAACACCAGGCCATGTCCCTGGGCCTGGCTGACAATCAGGGCCAACCTGTGGGGCAACCAGCAGGGCGATGGGGCGGGGGGGCCTGCTGGCACCTGCCTTGGCCGGCCTGGCG